GCTAAAATGAGAAGGATGGCCTCGTCACGTGTGAGAGAGATGTGGGCAGACCACCAATATATGCTGTGGATTCAAGTTCAGGGCTGTAGCTCGGCAGTTATGGGTCACCAATTCARCTAGACCCTGTTCGTGTCTCCACGTGATTCTCAGGGCCTCCCTCCACCACTCACCAAATGTATATAATATTAGCAGAATGAATCTTCTGCTGAAACATGGAACCATACATCGCCATATGTTATGTCTTTTGTGCATTTGGTGAGTAGTGGAGCAGGCCCCACTGGACGTATTCGTAAGAAAAAAAAAACAAAAAAAAAAACGGGAGAGCAGAATGAATCTTCTGCTGAAAAATGGAACCATACACCGCCATATGCTATGTCTTTTGTGGATTTGGTGAGTAGTGGAGCAGGCCCCACTGGACGTATTCGTAAGAAAACAAAAACAAAAAAAACGAGAGAGCCACGGGCATCTTCATCCTAACCCATAACTGCCGACATGCAGACCTGATTGCCAATCTTCAGCATATATTGGTGGTCGGCTGGCGATAAAACATGCAATTTGCGACTTCTGCGAAGCTTCGCGGGGCAGGTCGTTATTAGGCGACTACCCCTTCTTGCGAACTGACCCCACTACTGTGTGGGATTCGCAGAAGGCAGTGGGAAGGACAGCTTTCATACCCCGCCTAAAACAGAAGTTGGAATGAGCCCTATTTTGTGCCTCGCCATTCGAAACTTTTTGGGGAAGGGCCTGCGCAAATCGATTTTCCAGCATCCCGTACCCAAAAGAAAAGCTCGGGCCGTGGGCGCGGCCGGTTTGTGAACTTGCGCGGTGAGTTTAACATTTTTGCCGAGTTGGGGGCCCTAAGAAATTAGAAAACCCCTACCTTTTTTTTTTTTTTTTTGGACCTAAATTTTCAAGTGCGCTGCGCTTCGTGCGCTGTGCGGTGCGCGGCGCGACGTGCGCAAACCGTGCGCAAACCGGCGCACCGACGTGCGCCACAACTATGGTCAAAATCTCTTTCTTAAAGTTTCTTTTCTTAAAATTTTTGACTTTTTAATAAAAGTTCAGAAAGAAATCACAGTCACAGTAAAAATGTACATAATCTCTTTTTTTTTTTTCTTTTTTTTTTTTTTTTTTTTTAACAACACCCCCGCCGGTGATAGTGGCGCTGATAAGAGCAGGCGATCTCATGATTCTCATCAGTTAAAAATGGAGCTTCACTTCTGTCGGGGACAAACAAGCGGGAAAAAAAAAAAAAAAAAAAAAGAGGAGGGAAGGAGTTTGAACTGACCTGGGAATCAAGTTGGGACTCTTGAAACTTCTCGGAGTCCGTCATCTCAGTTCTCTTCTCCACTTTTTCCTTTTCTGCCGCATCCTTGTCTCGCCTTGTGCTTCTTCGCGGATTACGCGACCTTTCACACCATAACCATCACAGGCAGGTAAGTGTGGAAATGTCAATATGTTATAAAGTCATCAACTGCTGGGACCCATAACCATCTCGAGTCTCAACCCCTCGGGCCCTCACCTTTGCCCACCTCCTTTTGTTTGCCCCCTCCATTCGCTTTCTCCCCTCCCCTCTCAGTTGCTGCATGTGCAGCTGATGCCACAGGCAACCATCTTCGACATAAACGTGCACGTGTGTGTGGATGGATGTGTGGGCACTTGTCGCTCAAGGACCCAAATACATATAACCTTGCACTTCTTAAAGTTCTAATCCTCACACCCATTTAATAATTTTAATTCGATTTACAATTTTATAAATTATAATCATTTCCCTGCATTTAGTAATTTAGTAATTTTGCAATGAAGTTGAATGAACCACTTATATTTTAAAATTAAAAAAAAATAAAAAATTTGAATGCATCATCAGAGTTCACAACATGGCTACTGCGGACCCAGACGGCGGACCACCGTGGACCCGGACCCCTGGTCGGTCCGGTATCGATCCGGACGTCCGCATTTCCGGACCAATCCGGACCATTAGTGGGACCATGTACGGATTGGTCCGGATGGTCTGGATGGTCCTGTCCGGATCCGTCCGGGTTGGGGGGGGAAAAAAAAGGTAAATTTTAAATGCATCATCAGAGTTCACAACATGGCTGCTGCGGACCCAGACAGCGGACCACCGTGGACCCGGACCCCCGGTCGGTCCGGTATCGATCCGGACGTCTGCATTTCCGGACCATGCCCGGATTGGTCCGGATGGTCTGGATGGTCCTGTCCAGATCCGTCCGGATTAGGGGGGGGGGGAAGGTGAGGGGGTCGTGTGTTGCAAACACATCCCTCCCCCTTCATTCGAGTCCTCCGTCTCCCCCTTAGTCCGAACCTCCCTCCCCCTTCGTCTGAACTTTGGAAGCAAAAGGTAAGTCCGCAAACGAAGGAAAGTATGTGAATAAAACATCGTGAATGAATAAAAAGAACCTCCATTCTGTCGGCTCATAGAATCGTCATGTAATGAAAACCAATGAAGAAAAAGACTCATAACCAACACTGCAGGGGAAGGAGTTGCAAAAGAAGGGGGAGGGAGATTAATAACGAAGGGGGAGGGAGGTTTCGTATGAAAGGCAAGGGGGGTTTGGAATAGGGGAGGAATTCCGATTAAATCCCAAGCTCGAAATGAAAACAATCCAAAAGATCGTGAAAGAACAAGAAGAACCGCAATTCTCTCTGCCGATAGGATCGTAATGTCATGAAAAGCAATGAAGAACATTCAAAACGAACCGTGAGGGGGAGAAGGGTAGGGGGATGATGGCGAAGGGGGAGGGCGGCTCGGAATAGGGAAGGTATTCTGGTATGATAACCTCCCCTATTCCAAACCTCCCTCCCCCTTTCGTTTAAGACCTCCCTCCCGTTTCGTTCCAAACCTCCCTCCCCCTTCTTCCCCCTACTTCCATCCCCTTTCATTAGAAACACCCCCCCCCCTTCGTCCGAACCTCTCTCCCCCTACTTCTCCGTACTTCCCAACCTCCGACATATCATTCCAACCTCCCCCTTCGCCCCGAACCCCGCTCCTCGTTGCATGAATGTAACATATCTTTCCAATGTATAGTGTAGGATTCAGTCTCATTACCAAACTAGCGCAGGGACACCCAAATCACAAAAACGAAAGGCAAGCACGGAACGAAAAGAGAGAGAGAGAGAGAGAGAGAGAGAGAGAGAGAGAGAGAGAG